TATTTTATTATTGTTAATTTTAAGTGGACCCCACAGAAAAATAAAAAAAATTTTATGTTAATTTTTAAGTGGGCCTCACTAATTTCTTAATGTCATTTTAATATAATTAAATTATAAAATACTTTCTCCGATTGAAATAATTATGTCACATTTTTTATCCGTCAAATTTATGTATAATAAAAATTTATCCATTCAGAATTTTATTATCTTTATTTAAACAAATAATGATCAAATTTGTCACCATTTTTCTACTTACTCCACTATAATATCCTCAATTTATTTTTTTAGTTATATCACATTTTGCATTAAAAAACAATTATCTAAAAAATTATACAAATATACTTTAGGACAATAAAAAAATAGACGGAGGGAGTATTATTTAAAAATGTTTAATTAATTAAGAAAATCAAATATAATTTAATTATATATTATACTTGTGGTGGGATCCACAATCTAAAAATTTTAAAAGAAAATAAAAAAAAAATTTATATTATACTTGTGGTGGGACTCACCATCTAAATTTTTTTTTAAAAAAAATTATATCTGTGGTAGGATCCACCATCTAAAATTTTTTAAAAAATATAGAAAAAATATTGGTTCGTGGCGAACCAAAATCAAGAGTAAATATATATATACTCCTTTCGTCCCACATAATTTATTTTTATTTTCTATTTTCGTCCGTCCCACATAACTTGTCATTTCTTGATAACTCTTGATTTTGCCATATTTTATAGCTTATATTTATTTAATTATTTATTTATTTATGTCAAATTTTGATATCATTTATGTTAATTTATTCTAATAATTGTATTAATTTCATATTGTTTGTATAATATTAATTTATTAGTTTTTAAGTGCAATTTATAATTATTTTGGTGTATAAATTAAATTAATTGATGTGTTTCTTGAATTATATTTTTTGGCATTATTTATGTGCTATTTAAGTATTTAATTTTAACTAAATTAATTTTATTTAATAAGTATTATTTATTTAAAGAAATATTTATAAGATGTTCATTATTTATATAGGTGAAATAATGCTTGAAAACTGATGTGGGAGCCCAAAACTGGCCTTAAAAAGTGAAAAAATGGCTTCAGAAGCGAAAAAAAGTCACCGGCGTGAAAGTCAACAAAAGTCAACGGTCAACGCCAGAAAGTCAACGCGTGAAAGTCAAAGTCAACCGAGCGCGGAAGACAAGTGACGGCCGCACGGAAGGTAAGCGACGGCCGCGCGGAAGACAAGCGGCGGCTACATAGGAGTGCGCAAGCGCGGAAGGCAAGCGAGCGCGGAAGGCGAGCGGCGGCTGTATTTATGAGCGCGGAAGGCGAGCGGCGGCTGTATTTATGAGCGCGGAAGGCAAGCGAGCGCGGAAAGCGAAGCGGCGGCTAACACGGAATTCAAGCGGCGGCTAACACGGAATTCAAGCGGCGGCTGACACGAAAATATGAGCGGAGCGGAAAGCCATACGTGGAAGTGAGCGAAGCGGCGACTTCTCGCTGCATTTATTGCCGCTGGTTAGCAGTGCATTTACTGCGCCGCCACAATAATTCCTGCACAGAATTCTGCTGCATTTATGTCTCTTGCACCCTCAGCTCCTGCATTTACTACACTCTCCCAGCTCTTTTAATTAAAATCCTGCACTACTTTTTAGCCAATTTTTGGCTATTTTGTGTAATTTTTATTCTAAAACCTTCTAGAAAATAGGTAGTTATTAGTAGTTATATTAGTAGCTATTTTTAGAGTTAGTTATTTATGGTTATTTTTAGAGGTAGTTAGTAGTTATTTTTAGAATTAGTTATTTATTGGCGGTTGTAACCGTCAAGCTTCTAGAAGCTTTTCCCCTATAAATATCCCCTCTAATTGTACCATATATATATATAGACCATAGATAGATATAGATACACCATAGATATATATATACACCATATATACACAATAATATACATTATATTTTCTCCATTTCTTTTCTTCCGTATTTTTTTTATCTAGTTTAATAATACGAGATTTTCGGTTTTGTGTCGCGAGCAAACTGATTTTCTCCCCCTTTTTCTTTTAATTTCAGCATATTATTTTAGCTAGTAAAATTCCTATCATATTTCTCCACATCACCTTCACCCAAAAATTCCATGTTCGATTTGAATTGTTCAAGTTGGATTTCGACAAGGTTGCGGAAGGGCGACAGAAGAATCGACTATTTCAGCCCTGTTATGCGCCAAAAGCGGTTTCCGGGTAGTTCAACGTAGCTAAGTACGCGGGAGCCTTGTCGACCTGCTTAGTTGCTGTTCTGAATTCGATTTCGATTAAAGAGAGGTAATAAAAGGGGTAGAGCCACTAGCGGAACGGTTGGAAGAATAATTCATGGGGCATAGGCGGGGGTCTATTGGGTCACAGAGATTCCTAGTAACAGTAGGGTTTCTTGCTTATAATGTTCTTCGCCGGGTGTCGCTGAAGCCTCGTTGTAAATCCCCCAAGATCAAGTACCAACCGAGTCGAGAATCGGCTTAAGCGAGCAAATGCGATCACGTTCATATCTTTGTGCCGCCTCGCAATTATACATATATTTTTCGCTATCACGCCATCGTCATCCCGCTCATTTCATCCATGGAAATCTAGTCATTAAGGAACGCAAAAGTCAGACACAAACGCCTCGCTTCATCCCTTTCGAGATACGTATATTTTATCGCTTTTTAGTTAGATTTAATTTCCGCAATTTATCTTTTCAGTTTCTTCGATTGCATTAACTCATTGCACTTTTTCTAATTAAATATAGGATATTTGCATATTCCCTGAGTTCGACCCGGACACTCACCGGTTAAAGAGATTTTTTATTTTTGACGAAGTTTTTGGAGTGACTACACGAACACACATGACACTATTTTCATTTTATACATATATCATTTTTTTTGTATCTTAAAAGATATTTTAAAAACTCTCCAAAAATCTTCGATCATTTCTGTTTTTGGAAATATAATTAAGCACTTTAATCGCATTTTAAATTTTAAATTTTATAATTTTTTTAATTTTAATTAAACTATTTACTTATCATAATCTTAACCTATAATTATTTTTATTAAATAATAATTATTTTTACTAATAAACTTCTTAATTACTTACTAATTATACTTTACCTAAATTCTCGTATCAACATTAATACACTCGTGTTACATGGGACGGAGGGAGTATTAGATTATAGAATCAGAATATGAATGGGACAGAGCAGAGGCAAAGGCGCTGCTGTTCTGCAGACCCTTTTTATTTTATTTTTTTAAAAAAGAAAAAAGAAAAAATTATTTTCCGCTAGAATGATAGAGCTGTCCCAGTTTGATCTTGTTGGTTGATATTACATTCCCAAAATTTATAAAGCATACCGTCTATAAACTAAATATTCACGCTAAAAAATATAGAATTAAAAATAAATTATACATTAATTATGATTAAGCATACAGTCTTGAAAATACGAAGATTTAGAACAAATTTATGAATCAATACGTAAATCAGCGAATAAATTAAAAATTAATCAAATAAATTATAATTACTTAGCTAACCTCTTTCATATATATCAAATTATGGTTAAGTTTCACCTTCCAATCCTCTATTTCAAACATGTTACATCTTATAATACCTGATGATGACGAACGGAAAAGAACATACATTGGGTTACATCATGCCGCGGGCATTCTTACTATATACATGGGGGCGTTTACTTCGAACGATTAGGTCAAATAATATTATTTTATCCTGATTTAAAGTATCTGGGCCCGAGATAATCACATTTAGAGTATTATTAATCTAACATCCTAATATTATTTAATACAATTTAATAAAATTACTAAACTATTTTTATTCTTAATCCATTTTTTGCTCACACTTCTCAAATCTTCTTCGCACACTCATTAGCTTCAAATTTTTATGGTAATTCATCGACTATATATATATAGGTATCGAATGAAAAAATCAATGACCTACACTTTAGTAATATGAGTTTGTTGAAATAATTTTGTTAAAAAATAAAAATGTTTGTAATAATTTATTTGATAAAATATATAGTGAAAATTATTAGAATTATTTTATATTAATATAATAATAATAATAATAATGTTTTTGTTTTATATTTATTTACATTTTATTTTGAATTCATTTGAAAAGTAATTATAATTTTTTTATCTTAATTAATAAATATAAAGTAATAAGAATGAGATATATTATATTGCTAAAAATTAATTTATAATTTTGGGATAAAATTAAATATATTAAATTTATAATAAAAAATATTATTTCAAATTCTATATATCATAATAATATCACAATTAATATTTAATGGATTATTATATATTATATTGCTATAGTTGGAAAGAATGAATAAAATGTATAAAACATATTATATATAATTTATAATATGCATGATTATGAAGAGCATTTCGAATAAAAAAATAATAATCATGTCATATAATCTAACAAAATAAACATTATATAATTTTATATATTGTTCAATCTATCAAAGTAAACATTAATATTATATTAATTAATCCTTTGATTATTTAATGTCTTGAAATAATCCTTAGTATTATAATGCAATCAATTCGAAGTAAACAATCGTACAGTACAATTTATCACGTTTCATATAAGTATATAAAATTAATGCCCTAGTGAATTCCCGTACAATTTTTCAATCTAACTTATGATTATAACTGTTGAATATATTACATATTATGTGGGATCTCCCCTTGACTTAATCTATCACTAATTGGTTTTTAGGTTGAATGCTCGGATGATCCTTCTTAACATAGTATTAGAGCCATGGTGTTCGTATTGGTTTGGATCTTGTATGAATTTTTTAGATTATTATCTCGAGAGAGAGTGTTAAATATATCCCGTGAAAAATGTGAGATCTCCTCTAGATTAGAAGTTCGGATCCCTTCTTAACAATAGCAACATGAATATATAATTACAATACAACGAATTTCATCAAAATATCACGAATAATATAATTTCCAACACATATTCAGCAATACAAAATTTATAAAAGTAAATGATGATAATAACAATAATAATGATAATAATACTCAATGCACGCAACACAACACATTTATAACAATTTTACATCAATAGAATCTTATTTTTAAAAAAAAAGAAAAAAAAAGACAAATATATAAAATGAGTGTCATTACTACAAACGGAATGATCGATCGATCAAGATTCTCTTGCATTAATCAAAGTGAGTATAAAATCTCTATAGTTGCCATTAGCCACTTGAGCAACCTTTGTGGAGAGATCCTCACCATATTTATCATGGTATTCTTGTTTGATTTGCTTCATATCTACATCCGCCCGAGTCGCCGTTATCCTAGTCAGCCCTTGTTTCTTTTCTTCATGCCCCGACGGGTCCAACGACGCATTTAATACCTATACATAGGATTTGTTTTTTTAGCAAATTTTTTTCATATTTTACTATTTGAATTCTGTATTTTTCGAAAGATAAAAATATTCTCAAACTTATCAAAAGAAACATTACTATTACTTTAATTAATTAATTAGTAGATTACCTTGGCGAAATACTTGTGAGGGGTGCACAAGCATTCTACTGTCTGCTTCAAGTACCCATCAACATCCTTCATTCAATAATTCAACATGACAATGGCAAGAAGATCGATCATCCAATTGAACCGAGGGAAGTTTAATTTAATTTAATTTAAATACCTAATTATATTACCTCATCCAAATTATTGCCTGCAGTGATTTCCTTGTAATGCTTGTGGATGGCCTGGAGATGGAGTTTACTCCTTGTGGATAATATCCTAATAACCTCCTCATTATCAATTTGGAGGCCTAATTGCTTATGAATATCTGAAAGGGACTTGGCTTCAGCTCTCGCAGCTTCTTCATCCACTCGGGGGCCTTCGTAACGATACGCGCTAACGAGCGCAACCAAGAGCTGTTATATTTGTTATATATATATATACACATACGGTGGATAACAGTTAGTTACGTTGTTAACAGACAGACAAATTTACGAGGAAGATTACGGTCTTGAATGTAAAATATAGAAACAGCGCACATCCTTATTACATACAACATGTGTTGTTTGTAATAAAAACATGTGTTGTTTGTTCATAATTAAGCATTGTATGTATTATGTGAGACTATATCATGTGTTGTGTGTGTAGTATATTAACTAACGTATACTGTGTGTTGTCTATGGTAACACCGTGTGTTGTCCGGTAGCACACGGTGTGCTATTCAGCGCAGCACTGAATGTAAAATTTTACATTCAGCATTGTAGCCGCCGCCACGTGCAATTGACATAATATATATGTAATCCTACTATATATATATATTTAAAATTAAACACACTTATAAAATTGGATCGGGATTGGAGTTGGAACCTTTTTCTCGGGGCCATGGATGCGAAAAGCAACATCTTCCTCAATGGAGCGATCGGTTAGGGAATGATAGGCTCGGCGTGCGCCTAAGAGCTCGTCGGATGATCGGCTGCATGCAACTTCAATAAGGATGTCAGCTTGAAAAGGCACCTCCTCTAATGCCCTCTTTACCAGCCGGCCATCCCTCTCCCATGGATGCATTGTCCAAACCACAATTGCATCCTAAAACAATTCATTAATATTTAATTTAATTACTATCATTTGCATTTCAAATTTTTATTGATTAAAAATACATTATTAATTTTTACATAGTACGAGTGTGTTTCCTTAGAACAAGTTTGGGGAAATTTACTCTTCGGACACTGTTGAGGAGGGAAAAGGCGCGAGATCATCCCTACAAGACATCGGCTGATATTCTAAGAAGAGTAGATTGTTTGTTGTTGTCTTTTTTCTTCTTTTTTTTTAAAAAAAGAAATAAAATAAAATAATAAATGTAAATTAAAATTTTTATAATACCTACTTCCTCCGTTCTAAATACTGTGCAATATTTTCTTTTTGGTATGTCCTAAACTCTTGCAACATTTCTAAATTAAGAAATAATTAATTATACTTAATTTATATCCACACACTTTATCCCATCACATCACCCTAATACAAAAATAAAATATACAATTTTTTCTCCATCACATCACATCACCTAATTATTAAATTATCTTACTTAATATTTCTCACCTAAAATTCGTGTTCAACTTAAATGTAGCATCTTGTTTGAGACGGAGGAAATATAATTTAATAAAATATATATAATATATATGTCATTTTGTAGAAAAATTTTTTTATAATACATATCAATAAAAATTTAGAAATATATATATAGATATAATATAAATTCACAATTAAATCTTACTTTTATTATGCACATTTATATTATTATATTTATTATTCATCAAATCAATCATATCAAAACTGTCTAAACTCCAACCAAATCTAAATATAAAACAAACATCAAAATTCAAATTTACCTCAAAATTTAAATAAAAATCAAATTCAAACCCAAATTTCCCGAAATCCCTGAAGAAACACACCCTAAGTGATCTTCCAACACCTCACCTCGTTTTAGTGAATTATGATCTTCTTTTATAATACATATATATTTAACGAGTGAAAGCTTCACATATGGAAATAGAATATACTACTTCATTTCACGAGATAAATTTTTATTCAGCACTTAAAAGATATATCAGTATCATGTTTTATTCAAAATGATATATCTAAATAATTATTATTATTATTATTATTATTATTATTATTATTATTATTATTATTATTATTATTATTTATTTCAACATTATTAGCAATTTATGTTAGAATTAAAATATCAGATCATGTTCATTCCAAACCACACAAACCAACAGTTTTTCTTCCAATTTGTTATTATTAGTACTATTTTTTGGGGGGAGGGGGGACACAAAAGGGTGATCTGAAACATGTGGGGAATGGAATGGAGTGGTGATGCATTATTATAATTATTTAAAAAAATAAATAAATAAAATCATTACTAACTAATCTCTTAAATTTAAAAGGTTGCGGTTGCGTTCTTATGCGAGTTTTATCCTAAATTTTTATTATTATTTTTTTTAAAAAAAATATCAAATTAAATAATTATTATTTTTTTATATTTTATTATAAATTTATTTTGCATTCAAAATATTACATCAATATTTACATTTAATTTTTTACTATTAAAAAATTCAAATCAGCTAAAACCCACGAACAAACATACTAAAAGAGTTGTTATTCACAATTTCATTGTGATCTTTTATTAATTATTTTATTATTATATTATTGTTTATATAAAACTTCAGAAGAAATTTAAAATAATAACAAAATAATAATTGATGTGATGTTTTATAAAATAAAATATATATTTAATTTGATATTAAAAAATAATAAAAAAAAGTAAATAGTGTAAAAAATTTAAAATTGATGTTGTTCAAACAAATTTACATTTTCAAATGACCTCAGTATAAAATTTCTAACTCCAGCTGTAATGCTTGCACATTAAAATATATATATAGCATTTATCAAATCAAATCAAACCCACTGAGTTTTTATTTTTTATTTTTTATTTTTTATTTTTTATTTTATATATATATATATATATTCAGATAGAGATGGTTTTAACACCATGGTTAATCTACAATTCAAAATCTTCTACTACTCTCAAAGGTAAATTACAAATTACCTTCATTCTAATATGGTTCACAAAACAAATCTCAGAGTTCCTTTAAATTTTTTAAGCGACCTTACGATTTCAACGATAAAGACAAATAGTAATTAACTTCACGAAAAACGGTAAATCAGAAACCGATATCTTCTGCTTTTGGTGAAAAACTATTGAAAAATTCACAGTGATGTACATACATAGATACATACCTTGAGACGTAAGAACTCGTGCTGAAGTCGGAGGATGTGGCGATCGTTCCATCGCTCAAATTGACGCTCATCTTCCACGAATAAGTCGCGGCTGCCTTTTCTGAAGCTCTGCCTCTCATTTGGATGCAGCCTCCCCAAAATCGATATCATCGTCTTCTCATCCACTCCAATACCTAATTAATCACATCATTTACCGCCAAAATTAATTACTGCGATTCACAGCTAAAATTAAACAAAGAATATGCGCCAATACACAGAAATGTTACCTGAGAAAGCTCTTGCGAGCGATCCAATCTCATCTGAGGCAGCCATTGATGAAAAGTCTTCTTCTCTGTAAAAACTCTCTGAACTTCAGCGTGAAAGAAGAACGCAATGGCGGAGTGTGATATTTCTTATATATAACCGTAAGGGTAATTCGGAGATTTCCTCGTCCTGGTGTATTGACATAAATACCCTCGTATGAGTTAAGTGAATTAGGTATTGATTACTTATTCAAACATCAATAAATTAGAGATTAATGTAACGACTTTTGTAGTTAATACATTCTCTATTAAAAGGTTTTTCTTTTCTTTTTTTTTTTTTTTTTGCATATTAATGAATTTATTATTGGTATCTACACAAAATAAACTATAATTATATATGTAATAAAAAATTTGTATATTTTTTATTGATTGTAAAATTTTATTATTAAATTTTTTACCATATAATTCGATAAGTAAGACAATTCTTTTGTTTTGGAATTATTTTAAAAAATAATAAAAAGATTTTTTAAAATAAAAAATACAATTTAATATGTTATGTTTATAAAAGTATAAATATAAAGAAATGGTACTTGTTGAGATATTTTATATATTCAGTTTTAGATTTAGTAGATTTATATCTAGATTTGATCTTATTCATATATTAGATTACTTATATTTGAGTCTATCGATATCGAGTCTATTTTGTATTGCCTATATATATATTCCTTATTTTGATGATCAATAAGACAATCTCATTATTTTCCCCCAAAATTTCTAACATGGTATCAGAGTCCTTATTCCTCGTGCCGTAGATATAGCCTACCAATCCGTGTTTCTACGGGTACATTCAACCTGGATTGTACCCGGAGGTCTTGTGATTTTGAAATCATGCCTTTGCAAGTTGTATTTTTGCAAATCTGTCTCGTCTTTGTTGCCTGTGTGCAATATAAAATTTTCGTTGCTTGTCTGTTTCCTGTGTGCGATCTGAAACGATCTGTCATATGTCCGTTGTCTGTCTGTTGCTGCGTGCGATCTGCCAACTATCATTGTCTGTCTGTTGCTACATGCGATCTGCTATTTGTCGTTGTCTGTCTGTTGCCTGCGTGCGATCTGAAAATCTGTGTATGATATGCCATCTTTTCGATGTTTGTCTGTTCCCTGCGTGAGATCTGATCTGTCCGATGTTTGCGATTATGGTTTTCGGCTCCGGTGGAGTCATCTCGTTTTCGGCTCCGGTAGAGCGTCATCTCGTTTTTCGGCTCCGGTGGAGTCATATCATTTTCGGCTCAAGTGGAATCGTGTTGTTTTCGGCTCAAGTGGAGTCGTATTGTTTTCGGCTCCGGTGGAGTCATGTCGTTTTAGGTTCCGGTGGAGTCATGTCGTCTTTTGCTCCGATGGAGTCATGTGGTTTTTGGCTCCGGTAGAGTTATCTCCTTTCGGCTCCGGTGGAGTCATGTTGTTTTTAGATCCGGTGGAGTCATCTCGTGTTCGGCTTCGGTTGAGTCGTGTTGTTTTCGGCTCCGGTGGAGTCATATCGTTTTCGGCTCCGGTGGAGTCATATCGTTTTCGGCTCCGGTGGAGCGTCATCTCATTTTTCGGCTCCGGTGGAGTCATCTCGTTTTCGGCTCCGGTAGAGCGTCATCTCGTTTTCCGGCTCCGGTCGAGTCATATCGTTTTCGGCTCAAGTGGAATCGTGTTGTTTTCGGCTCAAGTGGAGTCGTGTTGTTTTCGGCTCCGGTGGAGTCATGTCGTTTTCGGTTCCGGTTGAGTCATGTCGTCTTTTGCTCCGATGGAGTCATGTAGTTTTTGGCTCCGGTAGAGTTATCTCCTTTCGGCTCCGGTGGAGTCATGTTGTTTTTAGATCCGGTGGAGTCATCTCGTGTTCGGCTTCGGTTGAGTCATGTTGTTTTCGGCTCCGGTGGAGTCATATCGTTTTCGGCTCCGGCGGAGTCATCTCGTTTTTTGCTCCGGTGGGTGGAGAGTCAACTGCTAATTTTATTTATATTTTCTATTTGCGTTTATATTCAGATTTCTCATCAGATCTTATTCATAGATTAGATTACTTAGATTTGAGTCTATCGAGTCTATTTTGTATTTTGTATTGCCTATATATAGACAATAAGACAATCTCATTATTTTCCCCCAAAATTTCTAAAAGGTACGTATTCCAATATTATCTTTGAACTTGCATTTAAAGAAATTTAGAGACAATTTTTTTTATTTTGGAGTTAAAAAGAAGCATCGAAAGTTTTATCTACTATATATTCTTTCCACATTCAAATGGACTTTCCAATTTTATACTATATTAAAAAATAATAATATCTTATTGTATTGTAAAATTTTGTAAGATAATTTTAATTTTTTTATTTTTTATTTTATATATAAATTAATTATATATAATAGTATTTTTTTAATTTTATATAAAATTTAAATGATAATTTAAATGATAATTTATTATTATTATATGATTATTTTTACTAAATTAAGAAAGATATACTTTTGAATCAACCTGAAAAATAGTAAAAAAATACTTTTAATTGAGATGAAGTAATTTTATGTTCTTTAAATAAAAATATAATATTTTATATTCCTTCCGTCCGGCTAATAAGTATACATTTACTTTTGTCGCTGAGTTTAAGAAATAATAGTATTTAATTGTAACTGAAAGTTAAAAATAGTGTAAATATAATTTTATTTTTATTTTTTATATTTTATTTTTTAATATAAAAGTAATGATATAATAGTAAAAGATAATATTTAAAAAAAAAAAGTAAGATGACAAGCCAAAATAAAAGTATACATATTTTATGGCTGGACGGAGGGAGTGTATCTTATATCTTTTAACTAAAGGTACTATTTTTACAATTTTTCTATGTTCTATTTAAATGTATTAACTTTTTATTATACTAAAAATAATTATATATTAATATCAAAATATTCTTAATTTTTACATAAATTATAAATATATCATTACATATCTAATTAAAATTTATGCATAAGATATTAATGATAAAATATCAAAATTATTTTATACATTTTCACTAATTACTAAAATATTACTCCCTCCGTCATAATTTAAAGTACATTTTTTTACTATTTTCATTCGTCACACTCAAAAGTGTTTATTTCCTTTTTTTTTATTAGGGTGTGTTTGTTTGGAGGTTTGAATTTTGAGTTGGAATTTGAATAGTAAAAAATTTGAATTTGAATAGTTGTATGATGTTATATAAATAGATGTTGATGTGATATTTTTTGTGGGAAAAATTTGATGAATAGTGAAAGTTTTGGAAAGTCTCCCAAACAAACACAATCATACATTAATACTAAAATACCCTTAATTTTTATCTAAATTATAAACATATCATTACACGTACAATTACTTTATATAAAAAAAATATCAAACGGTAAAAATGTCAAAATGTCTTACACAATTTCATTAATAATAAAATATTATTATTTTTTAATATACTACATAACCCCAAATTGCCCATTTTCAAAAGGCACGAAAGACGTATTATTTTTTAATATTCAAAAAATCTAAAATCATACATTTAGTTGAAAAATATGTAGGATTACAAGACATCACACACGAGTGATTTGTTTGCTTATAGTGTTTTCACTAAAAGTTTATAATGTACATCATTTTCTAAAATTATTATTAAAAAATTAAATATATAATATATAACATACAATATATACATACAATAATAAAAATTAGTAAAATTATATAAAAAAAAAAAAAAAATTCTTCCATTCTACATATTCTACAATATTTTCTATTTTAATTTGTCTTATATATTCAGCAATATTTTTTTTCAAAATAAAAAATAATTAATTAAACTTTATTTCATATCACTTAAATAAAATATATATATATATATGCACTCCCTTTCATCTCATTACATAATTCTCAATTTATTTTACTTCATAAGTAGGATGAAAAGAATTATTATTTCATACTCGACCACTCTCTCTCCGTCTGATTATGTCATTTTTTTTAGAATGGTTATTGAGAAAATATATATTAGAAAATTAATAATTTTTAATTGAATTGATGCCATAGTTGTAATAGAGTTAAATATATATAATATTTATGAGTGAAATACATATTAAATAATTTTGGCACAAATAATTTTTAGATTTGGACAAATAATTTATGTAATAATTGGTAATAATACTATTTTTTTTAAAAAAAAAATAATTTAAATTATTTATAAAAAAACTATTGTGTAATTACTTAAAATATAGATTAAAAAAAATATGTTTGGTTGGATTTATCAAAAAAATAAATAAATAAAAAAATTTATTATTCACCAATTTTTTTTTGCTAAAAATAACAAATAAAACTCTTATATTTTATTTATTATATTATATTAAAAACTTTTTCATATTAAAAATATCAAATCAATACATATTTATATAACGTCAAATAATTATCCAAATTAAAAATTTTTAATATTCAAACTTTAAACTCACAGCCAAACATGCCACTAGAGTTTATTCACATTACTTTTTTTTTTAAAAAAATATCAAATGGAACTTTTATTTTTTGATATTAAAAATTATTTCATATCAAAATATCACATTAATACATATTCATATAACATTTAATAATTATTTGACTTGAAAATATTAGACATTATTCACCGAATTTTTCTTTAAAAATATCAAATAAAAATTTTATTTTTTATTTTTATATTATACTAAAATTAATTTTACATTCAAAATATCATTTCAATACATATTTATTATTAGAGAAAATTGCAAAAAATATTTCACATATATACCCCATTATCATTTTTGTCCTATATTTATCTCGCTGGTAAAATATAACCTACATGTTTTCAAAGGTCACTATTTCTACATGTAGGATATATTTTAGCAGCGAGATAAATATAAAAAAAAAGTGACAATAAAATATACATGTGAGATATTTTTTACAATTTTCGCTTTATTATTATATCAAACAACTTATTTAAATTTAAAAAAGTTATTATTTCAAATCCAAAACCTAACCAAATACACCATTAGAGTCTATTTACCAATTTTTCCATTTTCAATATATCCATATTAAATTCTTATTTTTTATTTTTATATTGTATTATATTAAAAATTAATTTTACATTAAAAATATCCTATTAATACATATTTTCACTACATAAAAAAATCCTATTCAAGTTATTGTTATTATTGTTAAAAACTAAATTTAAAATCCAAATTTCAAACCAAATACACTGTTAAAGTTTATTAATAATAGAATATTATTTTTTAAAATATTAAAATTTAGATTATTTTTATTTTTTGAAAATTTCAGGTCAGTCCAGCCTAAGTCCAAATTTTATATCATATCCGAATCGAGTTTTTAAATTTTTAGATCATGTAAATTTTTATCAGTTCTAATTAAATATAATTAAAAATAAATTATTAAATAATTTGAAGTAAAAAAACTAAATAGATTAATCTTGATTAAGATTTAATTATTATTAAAATTTGTTAATTTTATTTTTTGTTTGAAAATGTTATATTTGGATATGACAGCTAAAAAAACTGTAGCATAATCGAGTGAGACGAAGAAAGTACGAAACGGAGAAAATATAATATTTCATAATTACTCATACAACACAAAAAGATTATCTAAAAATATAAATACACACATGATGGATGGTTTGGCGGTGTAAGAGTTGAACTTGTGATATTGAGGTTATGGGTTCAAGTTAGTTTTTTTTATTATTTTTTTTTCATAAAAATTAAAAAATATTGAATTAGAGTTAATAATTATGATTTAGGTTATGTAATATTTATATTAGAATTATATTTAATTATTTTTATTTGGCGAAATATTGAAATAAATATTAAAGTAATATATACTCCATTGTATTTTTAACTAATCTTTATAAAAATTATGTATCCATTGTAAATTAATACAAATAATTACATGAAAAAATATAATAATTTAAATGCAATTAATACAATAAAAATAAATTGTAACCATAGAAAATTTTAATCTAAATAAAATCTTACATAAAGTTCTCCTCAAAATATTTCCTTCTAAAAGTATTTTTTCCAAAAATATATTTAATTATTACTATTATTTTATCTAAAAAATATTTAACAAATAATAAAATTAAATATTTTAACAATATTTTACAAATTTTAATACCTAACAACCAAAATACAAAAAGGGTTTGTTTGTGAGGTTTGGTTTTGAGTTTAAATTTTAAATAGTAAACTTTTGAATTGAAATAATTATTTGATGTGATATAAATATATATTAATATGATATTTTGAATGTAAAATTAAATTCTAATATAATTATTATAAATAAAAAATAAATATTTAATTTAATTCCCTTGAAAAAAAAAATAAGTAGTAAAATTTAAACAAAACTCGACAAATAAACACATCATAAAAGAATGCAACCTTTGACTTTTTTTTATTAGTGAGTATTAGAATTTGTGAAAAAATTATAAATTGTATTATTTTGAAAATAAGAGTACAAAAATATACTCCCTCCGTCCCAGAACTATAGTCTAGGTTGTGTTTGGCTCGGGATTTAAAGAATATTGATATTATATTGGTAGTGGGTAAAAAGTATGGGTAAAAGATTTTTTTGCCCTTATGTGTGTATTAGTGTAAAAAGTGGTAGCAATTGTGTAATAATAATGAAAGAGTAAGGGTAGTTTTATAGTGATATGATTATTTATGGAAATGAGACTATTATTTTGGGACGAACAAAAATAGTAAACAAGACTATTGTATTGGGACGGAGGGAGTATATACTAGTGGGCTTAGGGCTAAACTAAAATAAATAATACAGAAGATATATCTATAGCTAACAACCCCTCAAACTCAAGATGGGACAGTAAAGACCAACTTGAGTTTGTCCAAGAGAAATCGGAATCGGCTGGGAAGAAGAGACTTGGTGAAGACATCTACAGTCTGATTTGCGGAGGAGACCAGAACGAGATGGACAGTCCTACCGACGACATGTTGAATGAAGTGACAATTAAACTCAATATGCTTTGTGCGATCGTGGAATGTATCACTGTATGCCATCTTTATAGCACTCTGAGTACGCAGTAAAGAGCCGTAGAAGATGGTTGAGAAACACCAAGATCAGTGAGTAGTCGACAAAGCCATAGAAATTCTTAAGTAGACTCAGCAAGAGCACGATACTATAACTCAAAACTCGATCGAGAAACCAAATTCTGCTTCTTGTTACGCTAAGAGATGAGAGAATCACTCAGAAAGAAACAGAAACCAGTGGTCGAACGACGATCAGTAGGATCACCTGCCCAATCAGCTTCAGAGTAACCGCTGAGAGTCAAAGACGAGTGAGAGAAAAAGTGTAAACCATGGAGGAGAGTACCTTTCGTATAACGAAGAATATGTAAGATGACAGAGTGGTGAGAGGTCATCGGAATAGCCATGAACTGACTCACAATATGGACTGAATGAGCGATATCTGGTCCAGTGATAGTCAAATAGATCAAGCTCCCAACAAGTTGATGATAGAAGGTAGGATCATCAAGAAGAGAGCCATCATGAGGGGTAAGTCGAACGTCATAGGCAAGTGGTGTGTAGGCTACCTGACAGTCTGTGAGACCAGCTCCAGCAATAAGATCTGAGGCATACTTAGTCCGAGACAGAAAGAAACCATCAGGAGAATCAAAGACTTCAAGTCCCAAAAAGTAATGAAGGGGACCCAGTCTCTTCATCTCAAATTTCTGACTAAGATATGATTGTAGATCAGAAATATCAGATGCATCATCTCCCGTGATGATCATATCATTAACATAAAACAAGAGGATAACTGTGACATCCCAACTCGCAAGCCACGCAAAGCCAGGATTTTAGACTGGTCCCATAGGTTTTTCAGTGCGCTTCTGTCCTTACTCACGCACACCTTGGGAGACTTTTCAAGAAGTCACCCATCCTTAAATTATTCTAGGGCAAATACGCTTAACTCTAGAGTTCTTTTAGTAGCGCATCTGAAAAAAATGTGCACATTATTGACATGAGTAATCTATTCAATCCATTTAACCTCTAATAAACTTTTGGATGGCCTAATGCCAACTCATCCGCACACGGAAGTTGCCCTGGCGACGGCCCAACTTTAGAGGTATTATATCCTACCCCACTTAATAGTATAACGTTCCCGTTGCACCTCAAGGATACCTCAACTGTTAGGCCCATCAACCCTATCAATAGTCCAGTCAACGACTACGGGCTGTCGCAGGTCGGCTTTAATACCAACTGTGACACCTCAACCCGCAAGCCATGCAAAGCTCGGCTTCTCAGGATTGTAGACTGGCGCACAGGCCAACACGAGTCCTTCCAGTGCGCTTTTGTCCTCGCTCATGCGCACCCTGGAAGACTTCCTAGGGGGTTGCCCATCCTTAAATTACTCTACGGCAAGCACGCTTAACTCTAGAGTTCTTTCAGTAGGATTTTCGAAAATGAATATGCACATTGTTGACATGAGTAATTTATTCAATCTATTTAACCTCTAATCAACTTTGGATGGCTTAATATCGGCTCGTCCACACACGGAAGTTGTCCAAGCAATGGCCCAACTGCAGGGGTATTACAATAACTATCTTTGATGAAGAACAACGAAGACATAAACCGGAATTATAAGTGCAAGTGTTAAAACCAAACTCCAAGAGCACAGTGCTAAATGTGGCATACCAGCCCGAGAGGCCTGCTTCAACCCATATAGAGCACGGCGTAAGCAACAAACCTTTCCAGAATATGAGAAACCTGGATAAGGAGTCATATAAACTTCTTCAGAAAAAGTGTCATGTAAGAGTGCATTCTTGACATCTAACTAAAGAAGAGACCACCGACGAACATCATGATGGCAAGAAAATAACAAACAGTAGTGAGATGAGTAACGAGAGCAAAAGTCTACTCATAGTCAACCTCATACTCCTCGGAATAACGTTTGGCCATCAGACGAGCTTTGTAGTGCTCAATGAAACCATAAGATTGTGTCTTTATTTCAAAAATCTAATTGCACCCAATAGAGGTCTTGCAAGGGGCAAATCCACTAAATCCCAAGTGCGAGTTTTTTCCATAGCCTACAATTCCTCAATCATAGATTGTTGGCATAATAGATCAGCATTCGCCTCACGAAATGACCTAGGCTCATGGTGAGATAAATGACATAGTAACAATGGTAATCAATAAGGTGAGAGTGAGGTTTACTTATACGGATGGAGCGACTACAATCAACAAAAGGTGCAAGATAAGGCATCGGCTTAGGAGGTGCGGACGGATCAACTCTAGGAGACGGTGACAAGACAAATTTGATCAATGAGTTGTGGTGAAGATGAGGAAGAAATGTCTGGGAAGAGATCAGAGAGAGAAGATAAAAATAATGAGAAGATAAGTGAAACAGTGTGCTAATCTGGATAAGGTTGAGAAAAAATTGTCGTCCCAAAATGTGAAATGACGGGATATATGCAACCGATTAGAGATAGGATCCCAACATCTATAGCCCTTGTGTTAGACTCCATAATCCAAAAAAACATAAATGAGCTCGAGGTTGAAGCTTTGTCCGCTCATGAGGAAGAAGGAGGACAAAATACACACAACCAAATGGATGGAACACACTATAATCAGGGGACTGACCAAATAAACGCTCGAATGGACTGATATTATGGAGGACTGGCGAGGGTAACTGATTAATGATGTAACATCAGTCAAGGCTGCTTCCCCCCAAAAACGACCAAGACACTTAGTAGAAATAAGGATGGCACGAACTGTATCGAGAATGTGATGATATTTGCATTCTAACTGCCCATTTTGTTGAGACGTATAATGACAGGAACGTTGTACCAAGGTTTCCTGACTTGATAGAAACTGCAAAAAGGATGAACTCTTTGAAAAAATAGGAGTAGACTTGATCGATTGGTTTCGAGAGATTATTAAAATATCTTTAAAATACAAAAAATGATATATGTGTATAAAATAAAATAAGTGCCGTGTGTGTTCATATAGTAACTCCAAAAAATTCATCAAAAATAAAAATTTTTGTAACCGGTGAATGTCCGGGTTAAACTCAGGGAATATGCGAATATCCTATAATTAATTAGAAAAAATGCAATGAGTTAATGCAATCAAAGGGGCTGAAAATATAAATAGAAGAATTTAAATCTAACTAGAAAATGATAAAATATATATATTTATCGAGTGGATGGAACGAGTCCTTTGTGTGTTACTTGTGCGTTCCTCAATGGTTATATTTCCATTGATGATATGAGCGGGATACAATGGTGTGATACCAAAAAATATATATATATAATTGTGGGGCAGCTCGGAGGAACATGTGTGATTACATTTGCTCGCTTAAGCCCTATCCTTGATCCAATTGATACTTGACCTTAAGGGATTTACAACGAGACTTCAGCGACACCCGGCGAAAAATATTATTTTGTAGAAAAACCGCTATATTATTTTGTAGAAAAGCCGCTATCACCGGGAATTTCTGTGACCCGATAGGCAAGCACATATGTCCAATGAATTATTCTTCCAACTGTTTCGCTAGTGGTTCTACCCCTCTAATACTTCTCTTTAATCGGGGTTAAATTTAGCTCACGACTAAGCAGGTCGATAAAGTTCCCGCTTACTTAGTTGCTACGAACCACCTAATCTCTGTTAATGAATACGACACGATCATAGGCATGGATAGTTAACCCTTCTGCCGCCCTTCCATAACCTTGTCGAAAGTCTAGCTTGAATAATTTAAGTGCGAACATGAAATTTTTGGGTGAAGGTGATGTGAAGAAGCATGATAGAAATTTATTAGCTAAACTAAAATGCATGAATTAAAAGAAATGGAGGAGAGCTTGCTCATGAATCAAAACTGAAAATCTCATTTTGTTAAATTAGATAAAAACTATGGAAGAAAATAAATGGAGAAAATAAAGTGTATGGAATGATAGGTTGGGTGTATGGTATTTTGAATATAATATACAATGAGAAGAGATATTTATAGGGGAATAGAGCTTTTAAAAGCTTGGCGGTTACAACTACTCATAAATCACTAATAACTACTTATAACTTATTAAAAACTATCTATCTTCTAAATAAAAATTACATAAAATAGTCAAAAATTGGCTAAGGTAATAATGCAGAAATTTAATAGAGGAATTGAGATAGTGTTCATAGTAAATGCAACGGTTGGAAGAATCTGAACAAATTTAATGCAGGCTGGCGCAAAAAATGCGTCGCTGACAGGAGAAAATAAATGGAGCCGCCACTGCTGATTGACATACATAGAATTCTTCTTCACTCCAATTTCCGCGCTCATAAATGTAGCCGTTGTTGCACTCAGTTTCATGTATGAATTTCTGCTCCACTCAAATTTCCGCACTCATAAATGCAGCCGTTGCTAACGGATTCCACACAGCCTCCGCTCGCTTTCGGCACAGCCCCGTTCACTTTGACCTATTGACATTGACTTTTGTGTTGACTGTTGACTTTTGAGCCTACAGCTCATTTTCGCTCATGAAGCTATTTTTTGCGTTTTGAAGCCAAATTTGGACTCTCATACCAGTTTTAAGCATTAATTCACTTGCATAAATAATAAACACCTTAAAATTATTTATTTGAATAAACATGCTTACTAAATAATACTCCTTCCGTCCCACCTATGGTGTCCACATTTCTGTTTCTGTCTATCTAACATTCTATGTCACTTTTCTTTCTTGAAAAATGATTGCATATCTTAATCTCATTTTAATTTTCCTAATTTATAATTTTTTAAATTTTAATTAGACTAATTAGTAATCTTAATCTTAATCTATATATATTATATATTTTATTATAGGATAATTGATTTAACTAATATATTCTTAATTATTTATTAATTATACTTATCATAAATTCTCGTATCTACAATAACCCGGACACGCTAGGTGAGACGAAGGAAGTATTAACTTAACAAAAATTAAATACTTAAATAGCACGTAAATAATTCCTAAAAATATAATTTAAGAAACACATAAATTAATTTAATTTATACATTAAAATAATTATAAATTACACCTAAAAACTAATAATTTAATATTTTACAAATAATATACAATAAATATAATTATTGGAATAAATGAACATAAATATACCAAAACTCGACATAAATAATTAATTAATTAAATAAATATAGGCTATAATGCCAAAATCAAGAGTTATCAATGTTGTTTTCCAAACTTATAATCGACACAATTGAAAGACTCAAAACGACCTAGACCTAAAAGACTTTAGTATGAAGTAATTGGATTTTATTGGAAAATGCATGACCTAGATGAAGATGCCAATGAAGACGAGAGGAATAAGAGGTGAGAGCTACAGAGTTGGGATATGTGGAGGAGGTAAAGAGATTCAAGCTCAAATAATCGACATGTCTTGATGCCCGTCCTGAGAAGCTGACCCGTATGAGAATCCTGAACCTGCACACCACAAGAAGAGAATGTAACAGCAAGACCTTGTTCAACTAATTGACCAACATAAATAAGATTTAAAGCTAAGTCAAGGATGTAATATGTATCAAGAAGATATAAGAAAGGGGAGGACACAAGACCTGTATGGGTAATATGCATGGTAGTATCATTGGAAGTATGTATAGATGGTAAATAAGAGAAAAGAGACATAGAGGACAAGTTATGAGGGTTAGAGGTCATGTGGTGACAACAACTAGAATCAAAATACCAAGTAGATGTACCTTGAGTGGTAGTTAGAGCATAATTGAATTGGATAACCTTTTTTAGGATGGTTTCTATGTCGTGAAGAGTGTAAGACGAATGTTGAGTCTCATTTATAGTAGCAGTTGTAACTGAAGAAGAAACAGTCAAAGAAGACACCACTAGGCTCCCGAGGTTTGGAAGCTAAACCACATGAATGTCTGGGAGAGAGCTACCGAAATGTTTGGGAGCAGAACTACCTGAACACTGAAATCTGGTGGGACAAGCTAGAGCAATATGGCCATGAAAATGACAGAAGTGGCACTCAGTCTTCGGATAAGTGGCCCAAGTGTGATTAGAAGACTTGCAAACTCGACATCTGGTACTAGCAGATCGGGACTGGCAAGACAAAGCTAGAGCAGAATCAGAACTCGGTGTCTTAGCCAACTGGAATTGGGTCTCCTAAAAAATAATCTCCTCAATAGCAGCATCAAGGGTAGACAATGGATGTCGATGTAGGAGTGATGCACGAACAACCTTATATTCAAGTCGAAGGGCCATCAGGATCTGGATAAGATCAAGATGGTCCTGACTAATCCGTGCGTGCCGAAGATGATAGTGAATACACTGAACCTGAGCAAAAAACTCATTAACAGACTGGCCAGGTTACTGTCGA